ATTGCACGTAAGTCGTGCGTAATGACCCACACATTCAATTTTATGTGCCTAAGACCTTCAAAATGTATCAAATCTCATCATTGTTAGTATTTGCATACCTGTAATAAGATTAGTAAAGCTTTGGAGATTCAATGTGCTTGTTCTTGCATCTTTGTTCTCAATTACATAGCTACTATATAATTCATTTATTTGAGAATCTTTGCCAGTTTTACACTGGGGTAAGTTTGGAATAGTCCACTTTTGCGTGGGAGGGAGATGGACTGAAATATGCTGTATTTGCTCCCAAGCAAATGTCGGCCTCTCTAGTGTAAGAGATAACTGTCACATGTAACTTTTAGCACATTTGGGGAAAAGGTTAGAAATGTCCATTGCTGACTATAACCTCACCCAATACAGCTGACTGTAGCAACTCCATATAACAACATGTCTGCAAAATGTACCTGCACGAAACCTGTGTTTTTTTTACTGTTTCCTTTGGTTGTTTGGTCAAGGTTTCCTCAGAATTTTGCCCAGTGTAGACGATATCTTCTCTGACTCAACATCTGAAAAATACAGACAAGATGTGATCTTAGAATTTGTGAGGCATGGTACGTTCTACCAACATGCTCGCCATAACCAATACTGTAACAGATAGTTGTTGTAAACTCTTAACCAATACAGATGATTGTTGTAACCCCATAACCAATACAATTGTGTTACCAGCAGGCTGCGCCTTTTGCACAGGTGACTGAGGAGGACCAGCTGGCCTGGGCGACATCAGAGAGCGAGGCAGAACAGAAACGTCTGGAGCAGCTACAGAAGCAGGAGCAGGCCGACATGGAGCTGGCCATGGCACTCAGCAGGGAGGACTCCAAAAATGGCACACCATGAACTAAACACTCTCTACAACACAACATCCATACTGTGGACACTGATGTAACAGTTACTCATGCAACTGGATAGATGTTGAAAATAGTCAGACGTTTCACGTAGCATCCACTACCATAATCACCAAGCAGATTTTTTTGTGTCTGCAAGACATGTACAGTATTAAATTGTTTGTTTGTTTGTTTGTTTGTTTATTTAAATGCAACAGTGCATAACAAGTGGCAACCAGTCAGCAACAAGGCTGGTAGCGGCTACCACTGATACATTGGCAAGACAGTATCCATTTGGCTGGCTTTAAAAAATTCCATTACGAAAAAGAAAGCTTGATAAAAGCACCTAAACACAGCAAGTCAAGAATAAGCCAAAGCCTAAACCTCTGCTTGGATACCACTTGGTATAACACTAGCTTTGGTCTGAATGACACTGTTGAAAGGAAGTTGTTGCAGACGTTTCAGATGGACATGTGTAGAATGTCCTTGGTTTCAGCCTTGGTTTCAGATGGCATCCACTACCTTTTGTCAGTGTGTGCAAGGACATCCTTAGTGTGTGTCAGTACCATATGGAAATTTATGCTACAATGTACTTGAAACATCTCAACTTTTTCAACATCTATCCAGTTTCTTGACTAATTGTTGCTTTTGTATCTTATTACCTGGATGTCTTATAACATTCATCGACAAACTATGGATATATCAATAATTATTACTTGAACATGTATGTCATCTGAGGAAATTCTAATATTGTCCTGTGAATTCCAAGTGCTTAGTAGAGTATTGAATGTCATGTATGATGCATGTAAGAACATTGTCATACCATGTGAGAAATGATGTTTGTAGAATATATGACTGCACATGTATCTGAAGATGATGTTATAGTTAGAACTGCTAGCACACAGGTATATCAGTGTCAGTGTATTTTCTTGCCATCACACTTGTTCTACACCAGCTCTAAAAATAGATATAGTTGTTGGTCAGCTTTTCATTTTGTGACCCAAGAAATATCCACAAAGCTTTCCATGGGACAACTATTATAGTACATATATCTTGACATAATTATGGCAAGAAAAGTATTAAACATTGCAGATGACGACCCTCAACACTCAATAATGCTCAAGTTTTATCAGTGGTATTGTGGCTGCCAAAGTCTACATACAATCATGAATTCTGGAGTTCCAGCTTTAAACTTGCTGTGTAACTTTAGTAGCCAGACTTTTTGCATATTCAGCTTCACATGCTGTGTAGGAAGACCTGTGAAGTACCAAACAGTTATGCTGATATTAAGTGTTTACTATAGTTCATTCTAGACAAGTCGCTAGAGGAGTTAGTTGCACAGAGATCTAATCTCCAAGTAGAGGTTTGGGTTTTGGCTTATTTTTGGCATGTTTTTAGGATTTTTTATCTGGTATCTTTTTTTGGTTACCAGCGCAAAAAAGAAATCCAGATAAACAAGAACAAAAAGAAAAAAGGAAATGCCAAAAATAAGCCAAAACCCAAACCTATGCCTGGAGAGTTATAATCATGGAGCTAATATTATACATGTAATTAGGTGAAACAGTCATAGACTGTATGTAGGTGCTGATAGGAAACAAAATGACCAACATACAAAAATACAACATTGAAGTACTGTAAAATCTGGGTTATTAAATAATGTGTCAGGAAGTAGGGAAAGAGGGGCTCTGGCTCCTACTATATTCCTGTCATTTCTTTTAATCATTCATTTTTGCCTTTGACAGAAGGCTATGAACTCGTTTTGGCACTGTTGGGCAGATTATGCACGATAAAGTTTAAAGGCATGGTCCGAGATTCACGATTTTTGGTAGGCAGGTTCTATTAGTGATGGGCATTGTCAAGGCCAAAAATGGGCTTCGTGGGGAGGGGTTTCTTACGTGACTGGAGCTGACCTTTTGTGTTTGCGTTTTTTGTTGTACTCCAGATAACTCAGGAATCCTTAAATGGTTGTCTAAGATTTTTAGTGGGCAAGTCGCCATTGAGAATACGGAGGTCAAGTTCGGATATGGGCCTCGTGGGGGGTTCCCATGTCATTGAATTTGACCTTTTGTGTTGGTCGTTATTGTTGTTAGCGGGATAAATGTTCTCGATTTTTTGTGAGCAAGTTACCGTTGACGATAGCAAGATCAAGTTCGGAAATGGGCGTCGTGGGAGGTCCGTACGTTACTGTAGTAACACTGGTCACTTTAAATTTGGAAAAGACACCAGCAACCCCAAGTATGAAATTCCAGGCAGTTAGCATTATGGAATTATTACATTTTCTCATTGATTATGTTTCACAGTTTTATTCAATCCAACAAAATCATACAAAAGCAGGGAATGCTAATGCATCCCTGAATTGTGTAATTACAATAGGTTAAAAAACAAGACAGGACAAGTACACAGAAACACACTATATACAAATATGTACAAACACCATTCACTCTGCTATATGCATGCAAATAGCAGGCATAGGTTTTCAAATACATGTATCAGCCATTGTCACTGACATTGAAGAGTCTTACTGCACAGTGAATGAAGGACTTTTTCAGGCGCAGGGTCCTCGCTTTGGGCAGAGTGTACATGTTGCTGTTCCTAAGCTGTCTCCCTGTAGCCGTCGCACGTTCAGGGGGAACAAGGTCGTGCAGAGGGTGATCAGGGTTCAGCATAGCTTTGAAGAGATTTACTGCTGCTGACTCCCTTCTTTCCTTCAGGGTAGGTAGGTTTGGAACCGCCTGTCTACCACCACAGGAGATTATACGTAGGTCACGTTTCTGGACGCGTTCCATACTGGCGGACTGTTCTTCATTGCACCCAACCAGCAGGACGTGTCCATACTCCAGGACGGGACGAATCAATGACAAATACACCTGAACCAGATCAAAAACACTCATGCCTTGCTTGGTCAATAATCTCAGGTAGTGTAGCCTACTGGAGACTTCACATGATCCTGGAAGAAAAGTTTACTGTCAAATGTAAAGCCAAGGCCCTTTGCTGTTCTAGTGACTGGAACAGGTTCACCTCCCAGAGACAGTGACGGTATTGCAGGGATGTTTCTCTTGAAACAGATCAGCAACGACTGACTCTTCTTGCCATTCAACAACATGTCATTGTGATGTGCCCAGGTGTCAAGCTGAGTGGCTTCTGCTGACATAGAGTTCACTGTACTGCCATTATCCAAGGTGATTGTCCTGGACAGACTCACATCACATCGATTATGCAAATTAAGTGTTAATTTACATAATATCTGACGTGTTTCGTTCTCAATTACATGTCACAAGCTTGAATAGTCATATAATGTAATGCAGCTGATTTATAGAATATCTCCATTAATTATGCAAATTACATCCAGATTTGCGTAATTGCCGCATAATTATACCAAGCATCACGTAAGCTACCTACACACCAAAAATCACGACGATCCGTCCACCGGTTCTTGAGTTATCCTCTTTTGAATATTTTCAAACAGATAGCCCTGCAGTTCCTGAGCAAGCCGCTAGGGGGCCCAAGCTCACGCCACTTCTTCCCCAGCAAAAGAGCGACGTACCATCCAAATTTCGTCACACAGTATGTCTAGATCATGAGATATCAAAATTGCTGTAGTACCATAGCAAGCCGCTAGGGGGTCCAAAATCTAATCATTTCCAGGTCTCATCAAGACCTACCCACCTACCAAATATCAAGATAATCCATCTTAGTTTTCTCAAGTTATGCTGTTGACAGACAGACACACAGACAGACAGACACACGGCCAGGAAAACATAACCTTCGTCAATTCTTGGCGAAGGTAATCATGAACACATATTTATAGCTTAAAACTTAAGTATTAGTTGCTTAATTCCTCTGAGAAGAGGCCAACAATGAACCCTTTTACCATCTGGGCGATAGGCTATTACAAACTCATCTGTTTTGCCTGTAATCCTCAAATAAACAAAGAGGACCTGGGAGCCCCAGGCCATCAGCTACTGGATACCGGCACGGACCAGAGATCCCATTGAAATGTACGCTAAAACTACTAGAAACTAGAGTTCCACGATCTCATACCTTCGCCAAATGATGTTAGCCTTTATAAATAAGAAATATACTAATCACTCTGATTATGCAAATAGGATCCTCAATTGCATGAATTATATCAGTCTGTTGATCATATTCTACACCAAAAGACAGTCTTATCTTAGCAAAGAATGCCATAATAGCATTTCCTCATAAATTATGCAAATGTGGTCCTTATTTGAATAAGTTATGTTTAATTATGTTCACCTTCACTTAACTTTCAAACACCCCAAGTATGAAATTTCAGGCAGTTACCACTATGCAATTATAACATTTTCTCATTAATTATGCAAATTAAGTCTTCATTTGCATAATCGATATTTGCCTGTGTTTCTCTCGTTCTTAATAACATATGTTACAAGCTTGAACTTCCTATCATGGAATGCAGCTGATTTATAGAATTTCCTCATTACTTATGCAAATTACATCAATATTTGCATAATTGTAATATCATTATGTCAAGCATCACTTAAGCTACCTACATACCAAAAATCACGATGATCCATCAATCGGTTCTTGAGTTATCCTCTTTTAAACATTTGTCCTTTAAACCCCCCTGCAGTTCTAGAGCAAGCAACTAGGGGGCTCAAACTCATGTCACTTCATCCCCAGCACAAGAGCTATCTACCACCTAAATTTGGTTACCCTAGCATGTCTGGATCATGAGATATCAAAACCGGAATTTCAGCTGCAGTACCATGACAAGCCGCCAGGTGGCCCAAAATCTAATCATTTTGAGGTCTCATCAAGACCTACCCACCTACCAAATATCAAGTCAGTCCATTTAAGCCTTCTCAAGTTATCGTGTTTACAGACAGACAGACAGACACACACACACACACACACATACACGAACGCCTCTGAAAACATAACCTTCTTGGCGAAGGTAACAAGCACTTTAAAACACATTTACCTTTATCTCAAACCTCAAGTCGTTACTCCCACTGGAAAGCTGGATTATTCCCCTTGATTGTGCAAATAGGATCCTCATTTTCATGAATTTTATCAATGTATCATAT